ATGATCCCAGGGTCCTGGGTTCGAGCCCCGCATCGGGCTCCCTGCTCGGCCAGGAGCCTGCTTCTCCCTCTCCCACTCCCCCTGCTTGTGTTCCCTCTCTAGCTGTCTCTCTCTCTCTCTGTCAAATAAATAAAATAAAATCTTTAAAAAAAACAAAACAAAACAAGAAATGGTAAGAGTAGGACAAAAATTCCCTTCTGTAATCATTCAAGTATCTATTATGTATTCAGCACTATGTTAGCAATTTGGGGGAATAAAAAGTTATAAAACATAGTCTCTGTTCCCAAAGAGCTAATACTGTTAGAGAAACAAGACACAGACATGTCATGCACCATTTAAATAACAATCCAAATAAAACATATAGGAACGAAGGCAAGGGATGGATAGCTGTGGGTACAGTGGTTGAGAAGGCTTCATAGCCAAGACTGAACATGAGCTGGGTCCTAAGAAGTAGAATTTTAACAGACAGAAGTTGAGAAGAGCATGAGCAAAGGTCAGAAGATGAGAGAGGACAGAGTGGTCCAGCATTCATCAAGGAGACAAAAGGGACATACACGTGGGGGACAGGTCACATCAGTCATGTCAGGGAGAGTTTTAAATGCTATTCTTATACAATTTTAAGTCACGAAATTTTAGTGAACATGATTAATATATTTCAATATTTAATCTGTAGCATGACCTGGAATGTATCTTCATGAGAAACTGTTTTAGAATTGATTGGAGGAGGAGTCAGAGCTGGAGGAATAAAGAGTAATATCAGAAGTGATGTTGTAAAACCAGAAGTTCTCAAGGTGGTCCGTGGACCCCTTGGGAGTCACTGGGACCCTTTTAAAGGACCTGTGAGGTTGAAATTATGTTCATAATACTATTAAGATGGTATTTGCCTATTTCACTGTGTTGACATTTGCACGGATGGCACAAAAAACAATGGTGAATAAAACTGCTGGTGTCAAGACAGTGAACCAAAATGTACCAGGCAGCATTGTATTCTTTTGTTTTTTAAAACAGCTTTATTGAGGTATAACTGATGTATAATAAACAGCATATATTTAAAGTGTACTATTTGGTGAATTTTTACATATATGGACATGCAAGAAACCATCGCTATAATCAAGATGGCAAACATTTTTATTATGTCCAAGTTTCCCTGTGATCCTTAGTAACCCATTTCTCTCTAGCCCCTTGTTCTTGATCTTTTTTGGTCACTATAAATTTATTTGCAAGTTCTACAATTTTATATAAATGGAATCATATAGAAAGTATTCCTTTTTCATGCTAACGCTAACCAAAGGCAAACTAAACAAAGACTTCAGAACAAGGAAAAACCCAGGAGAAAGAGGATCATTTCATCATGATATAAGATTAATCGATTAAGAGGACATAATAATCCTAAATGTATATGAACCTAGTAACAGTTTCAAAATACATGACACAAAAATTGACCAACCTAAACTGAAAAAGAAACATATATACAATTATAGTTGGGAAATTTCCATACCTTTCTCTATATAATGGGCAGAACAAGTGTACAGAAAATCAGTAAGGTTACAGGAGACTTAAAACAATTGACTTGAATGACATTTATAAAACACAACAATAGGAGAATACATATTACTTTCAAGTGTACCTGGAACATTAATCAAGAATGACTATATTCTGGGCAGTAAACAATAAATTTCAAAGGACTGAAATCATATAAAATATGTTCTCTGACCACAATGGACTGAAATTAGAAACCAACAACAGAAAGATAGCTGGAAAATCCCCAAATATTTGGAAACTAAACATTATACTTCTAAATAATCCATAAGTCAAACAATACATCACAAGGGGAATTCGAAAATATTTGAACAGAATGAAAATGATTTTGGAAACTGCTATCATGAAACACATGAGCCTGAAAGCTTCTTAATACTTAAAGACTTCTCTGATGAGAATGGTGATATTAACAAATGTCACTTTTTTTTAATGAAGTATATGGAAATGTGTCAACATTTGGAAGATCTATATAACTCAGTAAACCAATATTTTCCAAATGGCCAATGAAAGGCATTACAAAAGAGCCATTCCATGCAAGATGGACCAATGGATTTTATTGTAAAAGTACAAAGAGTTCATTGACTATGCGTTCAGATTCTGTACTGCAACAAACCAACCTTTCAGAAACTACCTCTTGTCAAGTTTGGTGGAGTATAAAAAAAAAAAATTCACAATTATCTAAAAAAGTTTCTAAAATAGTCCTATTTTTTTCAGCCGCATATGTGTGTGAGGCAACATATCCTTCATATACTTCAAACAAACCAACAAATTTTAACAGACTGAATAAGGAAGCAGATAGAATACAGCTATCTTCTATGAAGCCAGACATTAACAAGACTTGCAAAAATGTAAAACAATGCCACTCCTCTTATAACATTTAAAAAATTTTTGAATATACTTATTTTCTTTTTTTAATATTACTACCAATCTCATTATAATATAGTTATTTTCACAAAAATGTTATTATGTTCACATACAATGATTTTATTTTAAATCAATTAATAAAAATTTTAAAAATTTATCTTTTTTAATGTTTAACTACCCACCATTTTTAACAGATAGAAGAAAGCTTAAAACAGTTAAGTAGTAAGACTTGGTGAATGAATGAATTATATTGGTAAAAGGAAAACAACTTAGGTACCTATGATGTAAGACTTGGTGCTCAGAAATCTCTGAGATTAAAAAATGATATAATCATAATGAATTTTTCGTTCATAACAGATTTCCCTGTTCTAATCCAGAGGATTAATCACCATAATTGAGCTGACCAAAAACTCATTCAACTGAAAACATGAGGTTGTATAAGGGCTCAATTAGAATTCCGGCACACTACCAAAAGGCCTTTTATATCCACATTTAATGGACAGGACACATGTCTGTCCAGTGCTGTCATGCCTGGGCTGAGAAAGAACAACTGATGGAGTCAGATGGGAGATTCATGCAAGGTAGAGCGAGCCCAGACTCAGCAGACATGGAAGTCCTTACCCCAGCTGTGGGGCCCCTAAAGAACTAGATGTATTCGGACCCTGTGTATGCATACACTGCAGCAGTTAAAGCTCGCAGGACAGACTGCTTGGGTTACTCTTTTCTTAGCTGTAGAATTTCAGAAAAAGTTTACTTCTTCGTGCCTCTTTTTTCTTAAAAGAGGGATTTTTTTTTTTTTTAAAGATTTTATTTATTTGACAGAGAAAGAGACAGCGAGAGAGGGAACACAAGCAGGGGGAGTGGGACAGGGAGAAGCAGGCTTCCGCCAAGCAGGGAGCCCGATGCTGGGCTCCATCCCAGGACCCTGGGATCATGACCTGAGTCGAAGGCAGATGCTTAACCGACTGAGCCACCCAGGCGCCCCAAAACAGGGATAATTATTATATCATAGGGTTACTTGATGATTATAAATGTAAAGCACTTAGAAGAGCACCAAGTATAAGAAGTACTTGATAAATATTACTATTACACAATGTTTTACCTGAAATATGGAGTACAAAAGTACTAGTCTAATCTACAGGATGGGTAGGATAAAAGACTCTAAAAGTTAACTATGATATCTAAAAGTTCCAGGGTTAAAGATTCATAAAGTGATCACAGATAATGTTACAAGAAAAAAATTATCTCAAAATTATCATTTGAAAATGAGTAAATAGATTTGGTATAGACTTTCGATTCAGAAAGCATCTACTGAATATTTTCAAAACTGATGCATTCTTTCATGTTATGAGAAAAATATATACTCAACTAACAATTCTGAGACAAGTGATACATTTTTCCTTTTTTTTATAAAAAGCAAAATTTAAGTAAGCATTTAAAAAAATTCTTTAAAGCTACAAAGTATTGATCATTGTGTTACATAACTATGTAAATGTCAGCATCTACACCTTGACTTGAAGTGAAAAAAAGAAAAATATAGGCTGAATGGAAAAGGAAACAGGTGATGTGGATTAAGGAGTGCACTTGTTGTGATGAGCACTGGGTGATCTATGGGATGCTGAATCACTATGTTGTACACCTGAAACTAACATTACACTGTATGTTAACTAACTGGAATTTAAATAAAAACTTAAAAAAAAAAGTCTAAGGACTATCAGCCTATGTGAAAGGAAAATCCAGAGAGGGGGTAATGGTGACAGGCAGGAGGAGAGCAGTCCAGGGGGCCGGAGAGTAGGAGCATGACAGCCTGCAGTGATGGCCAAATACTTCTCTGGACAAAGGATCAGGGGCAGGATAAAGGACTCTGGAGCCCTGACCTGATTGTGGATAATGCAGAGTCATCCAAATGGCTTCCTGGAACTACTCCCATTCCTGCCTCATGGCTAAGACACACACAGAAACCAGAACAGGGAGTTTGCGAAATCACCCCACAAAATAAGCTGGCAGTTGGAGGCAGAAAACACTTAAAAGAGGATATGGTAGTCTGCAAACTCTTCTGTCAGTTATGTCAACACATGACAAAGAATTTCCACATTCTACCCTTCTGCAAGCACTCCCATACTTCTGCAGGTCTTCTGCAATCAAACACCAGGAGCCCAGCACTCTCTGCCTCAGGCCATTAACCTGTCTGTACTAATCCCTCAGAGCAGGGAGGGATGGCCGCAGCAGTAGCCTGGAATGCCTCCAGGCTTTTGTGAACGCTTCTTCAAGTAATAATCAGGAAATAAAGTTCTATACACAATCTATGCTTCCCATACACGCCAAACCAGCCCTGGGACTGTTTAAAGGTGAATGAGAGAGTGTGTAAGAAGTTTGCTGAGTAGGAAGAGTGACAAGCCTGCTCATCTGAGTGAGACGACCATTACACTTCACCTGAGCAAAACTTTTAGCTTGAATGGATAAAATACTTAAGACTCACAGTGACTACTTTTGAGAGAAGATGATAGTGAAGGAATAAGGTACCAGAGAAGTTCTAATTTGTGATCTTTTCTCAAGAATAAATTATTATCAAGATTAAAAGGAATGTATTGACTTACCTGGAAAATATCTGCCTTGTCGTCAAATAGGCTGACAAAATATTTATAGTCAGCATAAGCCCAGAATTTGGAATGATCATAATCTCTAAATGGTCCATATATAGTAGGCTGGTCACAGTTCCAGCTCAGGAACTCTTCAAGGGTAGCTTCTACATAACCACATGTCGTTTCAAACTGAGGAACTGCAATGGAAAAGAACTCAATTTTAAATGTACACTGAACACAATTTCCAAAAATTGTTTTTTTAAATGATGAAAATTTCAACCAAAAAAAGTTATCGTTTAACATTAATTAAAAATTAATTTTGTGGGGCACCTGGGTGGCTCAGTCGTTAAGCGTCTGCCTTCGGCTCAGGTCATGATCCCACGGTCTTGGGATCGAGCCCCGCATCGGGCTTCCTGCTCCGCAGGAGGCCTGCTTCTCCCTCTTCCACTCCCCCTGCTTGTGTTCCCTCTCTTACTATGTCTCTCTCTGTCAAATAAATAAAATCTTTAAAAAAAAAAAAATTAATTTTGTGCTTGCTATATAATTAGAACCATCTACAACACTCACAATACTCATGATTTAACACAAAGGTAAAAAGGTTTTAACCTTAAGATTAAAGACTACCCTTAGGATAGCCTGATTCAGTAGTCCAGTGGTATACTTTATTTTTTTTTTAAAGATTTTATTTATTTGACAGAGAGAGAGAGAGTGCACAAGCAGGGGGGAGGGGCGGAGGGAGAGGGAGAAGCAAACTCCCCACTGAGCAGAAAGCCTGATACGGGATTCGATTCTAGGACCCCGGGATCATGACCTGAGCTGAAGGCAGACGCTTAACTGTCTGAGCCACCCAGGTGCCCCAGTGGTATATTTTAGATTATTAATTTTCCAAGATGATGTTTTCAGGGGTCTATGAGGTCTAAACTATTTTCACAATAATACTCTGATGTTTTTCATTCTCATTCTCTCACAAGTGTACAGTGGAGTTCACCAGAAGCTACATGACATTAGTTGATGTCACTGCTCTCACAACTAGTGGAATACATACTTATGTTCTTGTATTTTAATAATGTCTCAGTTTTAATTTATAATACGGTAAGCATCACTAGATATAATCCTCACTGACAAAAGCTCATTGGGGAACTCAATTTTTTTTAAAGGTACAGCATTCATTTATTTTTTTAAAGATTTTTTTTGTGTGTGCTCGCTTCGGCAGCACATATACTAAAGATTTTTTTTTTTTTTTTTGGACAGAGAGACAGCGAGAGAGGGAACACAAGCAGGGGGAG